CCCCAAAACCCCAAAACCCCAAAACCCCAAAACCCCGCTATCTGAAAAGGAGGTTGAAAAAATTGTATAAATTTAGTGAGATATACCATTTTGTACAAAGAATTAGTGATTTATGGTTTTGGGGATTCCTTAAGTTTTGCTCTAAGGTCTGCATTCTCCTTTTCAAGATGTGAAAGCCTTGATTCAAGCTGAGAGTTCTTCTCTTCTTCCTTGCCAAGCTCTATCTTGGCTATTCTTAGTTCTTCTTGGGTTTGCTGAAGGGCTTCTTGGGTTTGCTGAAGGGCTTCTTGGGTTTGCTGAAGGGCTTCTTGAGTTTGCTAAAGGGCTTCTTGAGTTCTCTGCAGTTGCTCTTTCGTGCTCTGTTGGTCTTCTCTCAGCTTGGCGATCTCTTCTTTAAGTGATTCTACATCGTCTTTTTCAACACAGAACTCTGAATGCTCTTTCTCTTTCCCTTGCTCTTCTCTGCCCGATCTCAATTTTTGTCTGCGTTTAAAATGTTTGGTGTGGGCTCTAAGAGTAGTTTCTATCTGTCTTAGAAATCTAACAAGTTCTTCTCTTTCTCAAACAAGCTCATTATCTTCTGAAAGAGGCTTCTTGCTTTGCTCCTCTATAGCCAATTCTTTGTCCACCATTTCATAAATCTCATCAATGATTATCTTGATTTGTGATTTAAGCTTTTTAATTTCCTGCTTTAGCTCACTATCACTGAATTTATTCCCCAGAAAAGCGTCATGACAGCTGACAATATCTTGTTTGTCAAATATTGGCATCAAAGTGTCTATATTTTGTGAGTCAAAAATTCTTACTTTTTACACTTGACCCTGACTCGATTGGATTTTCACTCTGATGTTTTTGCTCATCATTTGAGTCTTGAAGGTATGAGTCATTGCTCATATCAACTTGAGGCTCCTGGCTTGCAGAATGTTGCTGATCTTGACTTGAAGATTCTACTCCATAATCCTTCAAGTCCTTCTCTTGATCTATACTTTTGTTTAAAATCTGACTGATTTTACAGAAATTAAACGAGCTCCCGTCTATTAGATTAAAGACATAACATAGACAAGAAGGACTATGAATACTTGAGCTTTCAAGCCTCCAGGATCTTTTAAGGGGCTTACTACTTTGGTTACCACTGCTTTTATTCATTCCTTGTTTCTGAGTGAAATTTTATATTTATGATATATTCAATCTGAAATATGTCTTATGGGGTTTTGGGGTTTTGGGGTTTTGGGGTTTTGGGGTTTTGGGGTTTTGGGG